ATTGACAAAAATTAATTTAAAAAGAGAATGAAAAATATGTGGATTAATTCATAATATTTAAAAAAAACAACTCAAAATATCAAAGCTAAATGAAATTAGATCGTCTTTGAAATATTTGTAGCCTACTGCCAGTACTTTTGATACGTGATGACGTATGATTAGATCGATCCCTTTTCAAAATTACTACCCCCCCCCCCCCCCCACCGCACCCAGGGACATATGGGAAAAAAATTCGATAGAAAATATACATTTTACCAGTGTTCCCGGGAATTTCAAGTACCTCCCCCTTCCCCACGCAGAAAATTGTCTATAAGAAACCCTGTAAATGCCCGTTATATATGTAATATGCTACAATTATATGTGATTTGTAAAATTCAGCGGGGGGGGGGGGGGAGAGTGATGTAGAGTTTGGTCTTTGTGTATGGAGCAGACATGTTATTGTCTAGATCGGGTCCAAACTAAGACATATTACATGACATATAAGGTTTGTTCACATTTCATATACGATATGTTGATGTAAATTCAGATATACTTAATGTCTCGATACACAAAGTTTATGTGCCGGTGGGGGGGGGGGGGGGGGGGTGTAGAATGCAAAACCTCAAACTACTCCGATTACTGAGCTATTTCAGAACAATAGATAACTTTTTCACAATCGCCAGCTTATTCCTTTTGTGGCTAGTACATGTCACTTTTATTTTTATTTTAAGACATTGGGAAATTATGACGTCATGTAAACTATATTTGGACATTTTCAAACACACAACATAAGAATACTACACGAAGTTAACGGCCTTTGCTGTGTAAATCTTGTGTATCAGAATCCCGATACATTGAGACGTGTCCCGGCTTTTAGCAGCCTTTAAAAAGAAACGAAACAACCTTGTTACACAAGTTTGACTAGCAAAAGAACCCAGCCATGTACGGCGATTCAAGTGGTACCGGAGGCTATCGAGATAAGAACATTGCCAGAACTCTGCTGCCCGTCACCTCATTGGGTGTTTCCTGAATCAGCTCACTTTACATTTCCTTAACTGGTTTTGTTACGTCATTTTAACTTATTGAGTGGAATTCGTGGTCAAGTAGTAGAGCACACAAATGATAACTCTGGCCAGAATTTGAGTAACTTTCCGGAGTTCACCCAGCTTTAATTAGTATCCGATTCTAGCCATACATAGAAAAAACGACTAGTCTTTGTGTTTATTTTAAAAAATTAAGTCCCAAAAAAAAAAAAAAAAAAAAAAATTGTAGTAGTTGGCGGAGTGGGGTGACACCCTTGGTTACCACGCCGGGTGACACCCGACCTAGTGACGCCACTTACAACACCCCAACATCGTGTGTTGAGACTTTGGACCACACCACCTTCACGTCACTGTGGCAACCTTAAACCCCATCAACACCACTGCCATGTTGAGACAGACTGAAGACAGGCCAAAGACAGGTCAAAGACAGATCGAAGACAGATTAAAGACAGATCAAAGACAGATCAAAGACAGATTGAAGACAGATCAAAGACAGATCAAAGACAGATTGAAGACAGATCAAAGACAGATCAAAGACAGATTGAAGACAGATTAAAGACATTAGGAAACTTACAACATAGACACAAAGTAATTTACCTCGTAGTAATTACTAAAGTTCCTTTTTTAGACCTAGCAATCCGTTGAGCAGATGAAATAGAGCTCATTTGTTGATAGGTTAGTGTGGTCAGAGCTATGCCCAGCCACATTTAAGATAGGTACTCATTAGAGCTGGGTGGACTCAAGGACGTCATACAGTCGGGAGTCCGGATCGAGCTCCGATCTCAAGAAGTTCAGGCTTCAAGCCAAACACTTTACCGTTCGAGCACAAAAAGACAATGTCTTAATGCAACAAAAATGTCCTCAGCACATAATCTGTTGTTACCCCCCCCCCCCCCCCCCCCAACACACACACCGCCCCCGCCTCCCCGCTGCACACGCATCGCACCGTAGAACTGAACTAAGTTGCGCATCAAATGAACGCAGCTAAGCGTGTGTAACAGCACTATAAAATTTGTACTTAATATGGTAATAATTATGTCAACGTTTATGTGATATTGTATTACACCGAGACGTGTAAGACAAAAGGCCGACATGGACAAAAGGCCGACATAGACAAAAGGCCGATATAATAAAGCCGACTTGACATGAGGCCAACAGGCCCTATGGCCGACATTTAAAAGGCAGACAGTCCATAAGGCCGTAATACCATAAGGCCGACAAAGATACAAATCCTAATATTGCACACACAAAAAAAAAAAAACACTACTCAGTCGTACCTCCACCCCCTCACATTTCGACAAGCCTCAAAGAATGAAGTCACTCCTCACGTGCAACAAGGTGGAACCTTCCGTGGACAACTCTGGGTGAACAATTAGTTCCAAGCTGCTGGAGTTGACGGGGGCGTCTCATAGACAAAGGCCCAAACAGGTGGGTAGGGGGCGTCTCATAAACAAAAGCCCAACAGGTCGGGGGGGGGGGGGGGGGTAAGGGGGGCGTATCATAGACAAAGGCCAAACAGGTGGGTAAGGGGGCGTCTTGAAAACAAACGATAAAATCCTATTATGGGTTTATTACTGTATGGCATAGCCCCCTCGATGTCAGCGAAGTGAGACAACCATCAAAGAACGAAGGTCTCTGGGAACATGGCCCGCAGTGCTGGCTGCAATTTGTTCTGTGAACTGTTGGGTACATGCGGGGGAGTATTCAACACAAAGGCTAAACAGGTAGCTGGTAATACCAACGTAACAGGAGAAGTTGTGGGGGAAACCAAATGAAGCTGATCGATCACACACCTTGACAAAAAAAAATGACACACAACAACGATGGAACATTATTTAGAAACACAACAACACTTGAATTATTACAAAGCATTGCGTGCAATTTAACTTTATATTTCTGTGGTGTAGGCCTACTTAAACTTTATGATTGTGTCTATTGTTATAAAGAGTTACTGAACACGTATATACTTAAACTATATAATTGTGTCTATTGTTATAAAGAGTTACTAAACACGTATATACTAGGATTTTGTTGTTGTATAGAGCTTGTCGGCTTTATGCCCACCATAATTCTATTTCTTGAAAATAAACGTTCTTGGTGAGCATCTTAATCAGACAAGAAGTAATAGGTGGGAATTCGGCAAAGTCAGCTGATTGTTGTTATCTACCCGATGATAATGTTTCTGACACCTCACACAAATAATAAATGATTAAACTATGACAGACACATCTTACACGGACTATGTTGAACCCCACATCATCACACTTTAGCTGATATTGTACATCAATTTATCGATCGTTTGAAAATTGTGTGATAGTTTAGTCCCTGGGTGTTTTGAAACTTTTTCAAAAACCCAAGCCAACGTTTTTGGCTTATTGTGACGATGTGTAACTATAATGGAAGGGAGGATGGGCTAGGATTTCATGATTGATTAATTACCTAACCTTTTTCCATTGTCATGAGCCCTATATATATATATATATATATATATATATATATATATATATATATATATATACATATATATATCTGTGCATACATGAGCCATGTATATATATATATATATATATATATATATATATATATATATATATATATATATATATATATATATATATATATATATGCATATCTGTATTGTCTATGAGACTAAGTGCGAAAATGACTAGGTGTGTGAATGTTTGTGTGTATCTGTGTGTTTATGTGTATGTATGTTTACTTAGGCACCGAATCGATGTTTTATGTTGTTGTCTTACACTTTAGGTGTCCATTTAAAAAAAAAAACTCTCTAGCGTGCTACCTCTTGTGACCTATGAACCCTGACCATGTATCATCCATCTACAGAAATCTACCAGCCATCCGCCTTAGAATTTTTGATATAATGGCATAACACCACGCCACACTACGCCCACAGCTAACTTGATATAATCATTTTTATTAAAAAAAACGGCCATCAAATAAATCGAGAGCATTCAAGTCTCGGTCCGTGTACCTCTTATGTAGAAAATCACTCAGCCAAATCCTGTTACCTCCCCTGAACACATCATAGCTGTAGTGAACTTTAAGAAGATTTATACACGTAGTTGATTTATTCACAACACTTTTAATAAGATTTTTTTGTCAGATATATTTATACGACTTATTCGATTTATTAACACGTTTTATTTTTAAAAAAAAGCAATTTCTATATTTATTAGATGCCTGTACCAGTTTTTTTTTTAAATAATAAGATTTTATGATATATGTATGTGATTTATTTAAGAGATTCGTTTTAAAGATTAATTTTGAGATTTTAAAAATAAGATTTATTTATATAATTTATCTATAAAAAGTATTTTTAAAATGTATTTATAAAATGTATATACGTTTTTTTTTTTTAAAAATGAGATCTACTTGTAAGATTTATTTCTAAAAATTAATTTTATTTATATATTTAGTTTAGCGATTTGAAGGTTTATTTATTTTTCATATATATTTAAAACTGATGAATTTATATTTATGTGATTTAAAAGTGAGATATCTTTATCTTGAGAAAATCTTTACTTTGATCAGAGAGCATACGAAAATGAAAGACAGAAAACAGCAAAGGATGGTTACATGGTTACACTTGGATAGTTTCAATCTACTTTGTTTACATTGTACATTTAGACAAGGGAACAATAACTCATAACAACAAAAGCTTAACTATAATATCTCACAAACTTTTAACTAAATAGTATTGTAAAGAGAGGTTTTTTAAAAGGATGATTGAGATTATCACTTTGTATCACGGCTAGCAAAATAAATTGGAAAAATATTTTTAAAAAATAATTAAAGTTTTAACACCCGACGTTCAAGTTTCTACTATATAGGCCACTACAACTGATTAGCTGTAATTAGATCTAATTAGAAACCCCCATGTACACTTCGTTAGGTAGATTATATCGTTTGGCCGTACAATCAAAAATGTAAAAATCCTAATTTAGAAATAAAACCTTACCCTTTTAATCGCGTAAGTAATCGAGTAGTCCCTTATTTAATCCGTTGGTACCTGGCCACAAAATACCAGCAGGGCACATTACGACATTTAAGTATTGCCACGTTGTACGTCCTCTACTAGCCGATTTCAAAAACCTGGTCGAGGGATATGAATGGAGGTATAAAAAGACGTCACGATTCTTCTTTCATGCGGTAACTGGACCGTTAAGTCTCGAACTACGCATGCGCAGAGGGCTGTGTGTTCGATATGGTTTACAAGACATAGATGTGTAGTTGGCTTTAATTTGCAGCAAATCTGGCCACTTTAGAAAGAGAAAGTAGAAGATTGTCAAAGACCAACATCATCACCAACAACATCACCAACAACATCACCAACAACATCACCAACAGCATCACCAACAGCATCACCAACAGCATCACCAACAGCATCACCATTAACATCACCAACAACATCACCAACAATATCACCAACATCATCACCAACAACATCACCAACAGCATCACCAACAAAATCACCAACAACATCACCAACATCATCACCAACATCATCACCAACAACATCACCAACAACATCACCAACAACATCACCAACAACATCACCAACAGCATCACCAACAGCATCACCAACAACATCACCAACAACATCACCAACAGCATCACCAACAACATCACCAACAACATCACCAACAACATCACCATCAGCATCACCAACCAAAACAAATTTATATAAATGATGATTGGTCTGTTTGTATCGACACGGCATTTTTCCCCAGCAAAAATGTAGACGCCCTTTCCCTAAACCCAATCAATGCTAGGCACAAATAAAAGCTGAGTCAGCGACACACTAAATTTTAACTTGGTGTCGGGTGTTAGCTTGGGTTACGCAACACACGGAAACCGAAAGTTATAGAAAACAATATTAAATAAACGATCTTATTATTATTATTCGTCGCCCCCCCCCCCCTCCACTTCCATAAGGATTAAGACAACACCCCTTGGGACCAAGAGCACACCCATATAGACTGAGACCAATCCCCTAGGGTCTGAGACCACACCCTTGGGACCAAGACCACACCCATATAGACTGAGACCACACCCCTAGGGACTGAGACCACACCCTTGGGACCAAGACCACACCCCTAGGGACCGAGACCACACCTCTAGGAACTGTGACCCCACCTCTAGGGACGGAGACCACACCCCTAGGGACCGAGACCACACATCTAGGGACGGAGACCACACCCCTAGGGACCGAGACCACACCTCTAGGGACTGTGACCCCACCTCTAGGGACGGAGACCACACCCTTTGGAACCGAGACCACACCCCAAGGGACCGAGACCACACCCCTCCAACTAACGGATAATCTCTCCATCCCAGGCCATGTCGTTCCAGCATCTTCAGATTCACCTCACCTGATCTCCACAACAGATAGCGTATTGCCCCACCCTCACACCCCACACACAAGCCAGAACACACACACCAAATCAACACATTGCTTCACCCTCACACACCCCTCACAAACCAGAGTTGAGAAACTTGTTTTCCTCTAGCCAAGCATTGGCCTACACGTATAGTGTCCTATAGACTAGATCAACATAAGCGCCCATCTCTCCCCAGCATGAGACTAGATCAACAGATTGTCTTTCTCTTCTAAACCCCTCCAGACCTATTGAAACTGTAACATAAAACCACCAAGAATCGGTTCCAGGGACTAAAACATCGTAAGTGGAGCGAATCTATTTTTAGTTCGGGAGCTTCATTCCATGCAATGCAGTCCCAACCACACCCCTCCCCCTCTACAATAAATAACGGGTAAAAAAAAATTAAACTGCTAATCACGTGATCGCATAAACTACGACACGCAACCCAGATTTAGCGAGAGTTTTTATTTGTGACAGCTAACCTTTCTTACAAGTGGGAACCCCGCCCCACCCCTTCACGCTCTAACCCCCCCTCCCCTCCGCCTTCTCCCTTTCGAACCCTTCCCCTATTCACCCCCCCCCCCCCCAACCTACAAAACCAACTCCAGAACCCACTAAGGATTAAGGACCCTAACTGGCGGCACCCAGCGATAAATTCTATGAGTTTTTGTTGCCATTCAAGAGGGCGTTTACAGAGATCAGTGCATAGAGGAGTTTTTTGTGGTAGCAGTTGGTAGACACTAGTACTGGGTAGCCACTAGTGCTAATAAACCCTAGTACAAAGAGGAGTTTTTTGTAGCATTGGGTAGCCACTAGTGCTGCTACACCCTAGGTTTTTGTAGCAACACCTGAGCTCTTGGGTAATGCACATCATTGTAGCCCTCACACCATCAGTCTTTAGACCACATTACAGCTCGTTACATCCACACATCCGTCTTCACACCACATCACAGTTTGTAAGCAACATCCTGACATCCCTTAAGACCATCAACATCTTTAGTTACGTCACAATATTGGAGAGTCAGGTCCAATCTCACAATCCACTCTCCACTCCACCAATTCACTCTCCAACCTCACCAATCCACCCCCCCCCCACTCCACCTTAGAATCATGAGACAGCAGACGTCGAATGTCAGTCACCTCCTGACGTCACGATCCCCCAAACGCACTGGAACTTAACCTAGATAAATCTCTTCAGCTTTGACTTTTTTTCTTGGACACAAAAAATTTAACCCGATGTGTCGAGGCTTTGACCTCCACGGTACTGATTTTAGCTGAATCTGCTCATGTTTCCAGTCAAATACTACAGGCAGGTGAAAATTCCAGAGTCATCGTTTTTTCTTTTACCTACCTGTGTCGGCACTTGCGACACATGATTCATTGTTTTTTCTACGTGGGGATTATTTATTCGATATATATATATATATATATATATATATATATATATATATATATATATATATATATATACACAATCTGACTATAGCTGCGCTACTGGCACGGGTTTTTCTTACATAACGCGTCCTTCTTTAATCCAGTAACAAATCTAACTGACAGCAACCTGTTGCGTGTTAAAGTGATGTAAAACATTCACCATTTAAATCTTCCTGGATTAAACGAGGCATCTTACTGTACTTTACACCACCCCTCGCTCGTTCCTCGACTGGATGTTATAACCCCAGGATATATATAACAATATAACACCTGGGGGTGTTCGTCCATTATGGAGTCGTTACTCTTTCAATGTAAACCTTTGGATTGCACTTGAATTTTTTAATTTTCCCTGTGACGCCCGACTATGTTGAAATGGAAATGAGTTATCTTATACCTGGATTGTCTTTTACTACATTATATTCGTTTTCAATATATACTGTTGACGACAACTTATCACTGAACAGTCAATAATCAGATCAATTTGAAAAAAGACCACTTACAATTTTTTAAAGTTTGTATATATATATATATATATATATATATATATATATATATATATATATATATATATATATATATATACAGAGGCGTAGCGAGGGGGCGGGGGGTGCGGACGGCACCGGGTGACACCATTTAGGGGGTGACACCAAGGCAAAAATAGCAAATCGAAAATTTGAAAGTTTGTCCCCGGGAAGAGTCACTACGCCTCTGGGGGGCGACACCATTAAGTGCCGCACCGAGTGACACCCGACCTCGCTACGCCACTGTATATATATATATATATATATATATATATATATATATATATATATATATATATATATATATATATATATATATATATATATATATATATTAGTGTATGATTATGTCTATTTATATCTAGAAGCAGAGTATGTCAGATCTTCCTTAAGAAGCCCTTGGGGTTCTGGAATGTATAAATAAAACGACCTTAAATCATTATGACACCCTTTAATGGCGGCCCTAGCTGGCCCCCACAAAACCCCGCCCCCTCAACAAAAAATAAACAGTGCCGTGTTATAGAAGCCTATAGGACCCGCACACCCAATCCTTTCTCTCTACAGCCCTCGGAATCAGTCATGCGTGAAGGGGGGGGGGGTCGAATTCCAGACCACGTGTAACGCCTGTTTACACTGCGAACGTTTTGCCTGAGGGCGTCTATTCTAATTACTGCTATAAAAATGAACAGGGGGCTTTAAAAAATTCGTTACATTTTTTAAAATTCGATTTTTTTTTTGCATGGTGGAGTTCAAAATTATCCAGCATTCAGTCATGCGTGTCTGACTTACCTAACCAGACCTAACCCACCCCCACCCCTCTAACATTGAGAGACACACCCACATGAAACTGGCGGTGCCAGTGTCAATGATTCTTGTACAACCAGTTCGTGACTACGTCTGCTACTGTGCTATTCATGCCAGTCCTAAAAAAAAAAATCTTTTAGCCTGTGTAAACAAGATCTCATGTGACGGATGATCTCGTCGCTCTACAAGCCTGTGTGTCGTGTGTCCTACACCCTCTAAATAAGGCTGAACAACATTATATATATATATATATATATATATATATATATATATATATATATATATATATAACTTCATGTATTTTAAACATCTAAAAGTGGGCGGACGATAAAACGTTGTAAAGATTTTTTAATCAAAGAAATATTGTAAACATGATCAACGGGAACATTAACTCAAAATGAAATTAGATTCAAGAATACTTTTTAGATGATAAAGTAAAATGTAGGGCCAACTTTCGTTTTTTGAACGTGAAATTTACTGTAAAAGGGGAGTAATTCCGTAAAACTTTACAGCACAATTAGTTCTTCGTGTTGTTTCCCTTTTATCAAAATCCATCGTTTGATGATTTATTTTTAATTTAATTACAAGTTTAAATTCATTCAACTTGTAGTCCTTTTACTAAGTCGTTATATTTATTGTTACTACTGCCATCTTATTCTCCTGAAGAAACATGAGAAATTCAACAAAATCATGCTAACTAACGCTGACTGCTTTAACGCTTTGGATAAAATTAGATTTTGAATCATTTTTATATTTTTTAAGAAAAACGCTGTAAGCAAAATGTTTTACAATGTAAGAAACTACAGCGTCCGTTTGTTTATTGATAATGATATGTTTTTTTTTCCAAAGGAATATTCAGAGAACCAAACAAAATCAGATGTCATTCAACACCCATACACGTTAGCCTGCTAAAAATATTTTTAGATCTGGCTGTCTACATTCATAATCTAACAGAATCGCTGGCCACA